ACGGGCAACTTCTGTCCAGAGGTGACATGGGAAGGCAGAGAGGGCTAGGAGCTGGTTGAATGGACATGGGGAATCGGGTGGAAATGAGGAGTGTGCTGTCACAGTATGGGGAGAGCAATTAGGATCACATAACAATGTATGTATAAATTTTTGTATGGGAGACTAACTTGAAATGTAAACTTCATTTAAACTACAATAAACAAATGTTACAAAACTTACAAAATTTGCTAAATTGAATTCATTCTTTCATTCCATTCATGTATTGAGTTCCTATTACCATCAGGCAGGCATTGTGCAGGTACTGGTGATACTGAGATGAAAGAAACAGACATGGTCCTACCCTCAAGGGGCTTACAGTCGGATGGATGTCCATAATAACCCATATGATGTATATGCGTGACAGTTGAAGAGAACAGTGTCTCCTTGCAAGAGCATATGCTTCAGGATAATTCAGTGGCAAGAGTCAGGCAGTGTTTGCTCTTTCTGGCAGTGTGAGCTCAAGAATGTCATTTTAGTCCATTTCCTCCTTTGCAGATGCTAATGATGCCATCCATTAGAACCAGTGTTGGCAGTCCTGGATTCAGGAAAACCAGAGAGCCCACATTGACAATTCAGGAACCCATCTCTCCAGATATGAAAAAAAAAAAACAAAAACGGCCAAGTGGTTATCTATGGAAGGTTAAGAACATAAGAGAGATCTCATTCACATCTCATCTCTACCAGCTACTGAGTGTGACCTTGGGCAATCACTTTCCTCTCTCAGTCTGCTTCCTCATCTATAAATCTAAAATAATAATAATATCTTCCTCATAAAGTTGTGGCTATAATTAAAGGAGATAGTACAAATAAAACACTCAGTAAATGTTAGGTATCATATATATTTAAATATTACTATGAAGAATCTTACTGGAGTTGGGAAAGTGTTGACAGAAAGCTTGAGAAGAAAATACATAATGACAGGGTTAAACTGCAGACATTCAAAGCGTGACTAGAAGGAGAAAGGGAGAAAGAATTTGACTTTATTAAGCACTAACCATGTGACAGACGCCCTTTAAATCCTTTGCCTCATTCACTCTCACAACCCACTCTGAGGTGTGGATTGAGCACTATTGTCCTCACTTTTCAGAGGCTGAGTTTCTGAAAAGATCAGTAACTTGCCTAAGGTCACATAGCTCCTCAGTGGGATTTTTTTCTGACTATAAAAACATGTCCTCTTTCCATTACACCAAAAGTTTTCCTGCGTGTTACCAATATTCTTGTTGTTATTCTCAATACTAAGGTTAATCATTAATCTCCAAAACAAAAGTACATCCAAAAGTCAACTCTCTAGAGCCCAATAGCAATTCATTTCAGGGCTAAGGGTGATTCTTATTAATAGGATTTCAAGAAGGTCACCAGCACTTACTACCAAGATAACCCTGGGTAAATTTCTTGAACTCTTGGTGTCTTTTATTTGCTCACCTACAAAATAATACCACCCAAAATTGCTATGAAGATTAAATGAGATTATATATGGGAAAGCACCCGGCCTATTGTTGGTGCCTATTTGTTAATCTGAATCTTCAAATTGGCCTTACTGAAATCCATTTATATGAGAAACTACTGACATGATCATCTAATTTCTAATAGTCATGGTTACTTTTCTAGTTATGAGGAAATATTTCTTTCAACAAGTTATTTTGGAGAATTAAAAAAGTAAGGGAATTTGTCTTTCTTTTTCTAGGTTAAGAATAAACAGCAACACTGTAGAGCTTGAATTAACTTCCTAACCCAGTATTCTAAGTTTCTTATATTAACGTACATGGGAATGTGTTTCACTTTTGCAGTGTGAGTATGTGAGATGACATGCAAAAACAAACAAAGATAAAAACCTCACACGGGATTTATGTTGAGCGTATTAGCTTTTAAAGCCGACTGATATTTGGGATTATGGCAGGAATCCTAAAACAGGTATCATAACTATCTCCCAGTTGTACAAAATCAACGTTTCCCACAGTTGCCCAATGAGAATAATCACCTGCAGAGCTGATTCATTAGCTCTGGGGTGGGGCCAAGGGATCTGTATTTTCACAAGCATCCCAGGTTGGTCTTAAAATTAGGCAAATTTGAAAAACAGTATTCAAACTCAACTTGCAAATTTCAAGATGTTTCATCTCCCAGTGAGTCAACTAATTTTGGCCTGAAGTATTTTTGGCCAACACAACTAACAAATCATTAAACAATTCCCTAATGTGACTGACAATTAACTTTCTAAAAAAGAAAGAACCACTATAATTAATTTTAGAAAAGGAAGTATTGCTACCAATTGAAACCTTACCATCTCTCTGAGCTGTGAAGAAGGAGTATTCTGACTATATTAGAAAGGAGAAGCCCACTTTGAGTTGGAAGAGGAAGTGATGCCGCGGGTCTCTTTGACCAGGTGATTTAAATCAGGTCCTACTTAACATGCAGGGAGGTGTTTTGCACTTGGGCAACTCTGGTCACTGAGAATAACCACAGAGCAGGAAAAACGGCATCAGCAAGAACAGGGCAGAAGGAGATTGCAGAAGGTAAAGAAATAAATAAAGTGAAAAACTGAACTAAATTAAATCAAAAATTAAAAATTACACAGTTCTGTAGGGTTTACTGGAGTTCCTTGGTGATGCAAGTGGTTAACGCACTCAGCAGCTAACAGAAAAGTTGGCAGTTCAAGTCCACCCAGAGACAACTTAGAAGAAAGGCCTGGCGATCTACTTACAAAAAATCAGCCACTGAAAGCTCCACGGAGCACAATTCTACTCTGACACACATTGGGTCATCATAAGTTGGAACTGGTAACTGGTAGGGTTTACAGACCCTTTTAAAAACACCTTCTCATTTAATCTTTAGAAGAACTCTGAGAGGTAAACAGTGTTTATCCCCATTTTACAGATAAGAAAATTGAGGCTTAAGGTAATAATCAAATTGTTTGTGGACACTCGGTTTTTCAAATTCCAGGTTCCTTGCTCTTTCCAACACGTGGAGCTGCTTCAATAGAAGTAAAGGACTAAAGGGAAGGAATTTCTGGGATGGGATAAGCTGGAAAGGAATAAAAAGGGAATAGTTATGAATCAAACACAAAATATAAGTAAAGGATGGTCAGCGCCAAGAGCTGCAGGGCAGTCCAGCAGACCTACACGGTCACCCAAGGGTCTAAATGTGGTACCTGTAGACCCAAACATCATAAATCAGTGACAGACATCCAGGGCTGTGGGCTGGAAGGCAGACCAGAGACCAGATCGTCCCTCCAGAACCTCCCCTCCAGCCCCCTGGCACTGCCCTGATCCGGGCCTCTTCATCTCTCACCTGGTCTCTTGGCTGGTCTCCAGAGTGTTGTTTCAAAGGCCTACCCTATGATGCCAACCTGTTACTTCTGGCTAAAGACATCCAGTAACTCATATTATGCCTGAGATATGGTTTAGTGTTGTAGTTAATAACTCCAATGCTAGAGTCAGACTGCCTGAGTATAAATTCCCCATTTCCATTGGCTGTGGGTCCTCCGGCAAGTTATACATCCCTTCTGAGCTTCCCTGTAAAAAAGGAGATAATCATGATAACAATAGTACCTGCTTCATAGCCTATAGTGAGGAGTATAACAAACATGAAACCCTTAGCACAAGGTAGTGTTCAATAAATGGTGGCCATCATTATTGCTGTCTACCACACCAAGCCATGGAGGTATAATTGGATTGTTTGCCCGGCTTGTCCTTTGCTGGGGACTGCCCTGGTACAGGGTAGACTCCCAAACAACAGGTTTATACAGAATGACTCCCTGTCCACATCTACCAATTGTTCATTTGCTCAGTGTTTTTCAGGGCCCACTATGTGCCAGAAACTGTTTTTGTTCCTTTGTTGTTCTTGTTTTACCTTTTTTGTTGTTGTTATTGTTGAGAATATATACAGCAAAACATACGCCAATTTCAACCATTTCTACATGTACAGTTCAGTGACACTGATGATTCTTATCATCAGGCAACTTTGGAAAGCACTGATTTTGTACATCTGGGAGATAAGTAGTAAATAAGAAGTCTCTGCCCTCTCAGATCTTACATCTACTGAAGTGGGCTGAGCTCTCCTCCTCAAGATTCTAGACTTTGATCTGTTCTGCTGGTCTCTTGAATGGAGGAACTCCCAACAGCGGAGCTGTGGGCCAAGAATCAGACAAAGCTGTTCTGGAGGATGAGAGAATGGGGCAGTGGTCCGGAAAGGGGCAGCCCTGAGGGCCAGAGGGAGAAGCCCCTGAGGTCTAACTGCAGCCCAGCCTCCATGCTTGTGAGAAACCACTGTAACCTCACAACCAATTCCTCTCTGGTCACAAGAAAGGTCCAATAATTCGAAAAAAGTCCATGCATGGATTCAGGGATTGTCATATGTGGGACCAAGTTACAGGACCATTTATTACATTAACAAACATTCTAATAACCCTGTAAACCAAACCAAACCATTGCCGTCAACTCATGGCAACCCCATGTGTTGCAGAGTAGAGCTGTACTCCATAGGGTTTTCATGGCTGTGACCTTTCAGAAGCAGATCATCAGGCCTTTCTTCCAAGTTACCTCTGGGTTGGTTCAAACTGTCAGCCTCTCAGTTAGTAGCAGCACGCTTAACTGTTTGCACCACCCAGACACTCTGATAGCCCTGTAGCTTTGTCAAAAATATCATTTCATTTAATCCTTATAACAGCTATATCATGTGGGGTTTTCAGGCCCATTTTACAGATGACAAAACTGAGGCCCACAGAGGTGGTAAGACTGCCCAGTTAACAAGCGGCAGAGGGACAATTTGAATGCAAGTACATCTGGCTCCAAATCTGTGCTTTTTTTTTTTTTTTTTTTTTTTTTTGACATAAAACCATGCTATAAACACTCATCAACCCCGCTCCAGAACCCAAAGTGGTCGTGACTCCTCACCTACTTCAACCTTGAGTATTTTAATTTGCACCTACTTGATTCCGGGCAATGTCTCCAGTTATGGTGGCTGTAAAGATAAATTGGTGTGAATTATCACCACAGACTTTCCAAGCCACAGGGATGTATTAACCACGGCAGCACCCTAACATCTCAGTGGTGTAATTCTCGCTGCTGTCATAGTCTTGTGCGGGTCAGGTGACTCTCTAGGAGATGTTTCTTTGAGCCAGGACCAAGAATCTAGATCCTTCCATTGTGTAGTTCCACCATATCAGAGTCCATCACTTCCAGCTGCTCAGACAAGGGAGAGAGAAAGCCAGGAATATTACGCAGAAATTGTAATGGCTAGGCCTGGATACGGCAAACATCATTTCTGCCAAAATCCCTTCCACAGAACCTAGTCACAGGGCCTCAATCAATGTCAAGGGAGCCTAAGAAATGTAGCCCCTGTGTTCCCAGGAAGAACATATGCAATTGTAACCATCCCGCCAGGCTCCACCCAAGAGGTAATCAGAAAATGAATAGAAGATGTTCTGTTCTCTAAGACGGGAGTAGAGTGCTTTGCTGAGTCCTGGGTAATACAAAATGGTTAAAATGCTCAGCTTCTAACCAAAAGGTTGAAGGTTCAAGTCCACCTAGAGTCACCCCAAAAGAAAGGCCTGGTGATCTATTTCCAAAAAATCAGTCATTGGAAATCCTATGGAGCATAGTTCTACTCTGACATACATGGGGTCGCCATGAGTCAGAGTCAACTCGACAGCAACTGATAGAGTGCTCTGCTCTGTGAGTTAAGAGGAGGGACAGTTCCCTCCTGCCCAGCTCACAGGAAGAAGGAGGGGCAGCATTTCTGTCCTTGATAGTTAACCTAGGCATTCAAGAGCAGTGAAGTTCTCTGGCCATAAGAGAGAGGGAGAGCTAGACAAGCTCACCTTCTGGGTCAAGCTGAAGCCCGCTTTGCCTGAAGGATTCTGTTCCTGGCCAGCTCCTTTCCCAAGAGGTAGGAGCGCCAGCAACAGCCACAGTGGGGGATCCTTGTTGCCTTCCTTGTCTTCCTGCTTTCCTGCCCACTGACTTCTTCTCACAGATGCGGCTGCTGCAGAATAGGATTGTTAATCTTCAGGATGAGAGTGACAAGGAGGTCAGTCTCAGTGCAAAGTTTCTTTGACTCTGACCCACAGCCAGGACTAATCACAAGAACTATGATGTCCAACACTTGAAAAATAAGGCTTCAGTCCTCACCTCTAATAAATTATTGAATGCCTCTCTTTTCCCACCTTCAAGCCCATCTCTCACTCTTAACGTTTCTACTGGATTCCCAGTACCTAGGTATTACACAGCATCATAGAGCCAGATTTCCCAAATTTGCCTGCTGATATGAAGCATTTGGAATTCTTGCTAAATATACATATTACCAGGTCTGTCCCCTGGAAATTTTGTCCCCTGGAAATTCTCATTCTGGGTAGGAGCCCAGCCATCTGTATTTTCTAACAAGAGCTCCAGGTAATTCTTACATTCAGGAAAGGCTGGAAAACACTGATTTAATGTACCTGGCCATGGAAAACAGCTTCTCAAAGCTTAGCTTGAAAACACAATTGACGTAATTTTTAGCACTATTGCCTTACAGTCCTGTTAGCAGCTAATATTTGTGCATAAGTTAGCAGTAGCCTCATTCAAGCCTTACAAGCACCATGGGAGCTGTGTGGAAACTGGACCCAGAGACGGTGAGTGACTTGCCCAAACCTGTCCAGGCGGAAATGGTAGAATCGAGATTCAAACCCGTTTTCTGACTCCAAAGCCATTACTCTTTTTTAACTGAGATATAATTCACATACTATAAAATTTACCATTTTAAAGTGTATAATTCAGTGAGTTTTCTTAGTATAGTCACAAGATTGTCAACTATTGCCACTAATATTTTCATCCCCCTAAAAAGAAACTCCATACCCATTAGCAGTCACTTCCTGTTTCTCCATCCCCATCCCCTGGCAACCACTAATGTACTTTAGTATCTATGGATTTGCCTATTTTGGACATTTCATAGAAATGGAACCATACAATATGCGGCCTTTTAGGTCTGGAAAAGCCACTGCTCTTGACCCTTCATTACCATGCACTCCTTCCATTCAACGAATCTTCATTGCTGGCCTCCTATCTGCCTGGGGCTGTGGCCATGCCAAGGAAACAGTGAAGCTTCTATGACATCCCATCCATCTGAGGCAGGTGGAGTTAGGGCAAAGACGCAACCGAGGAAATTGGTCCAGGGGCCTGGGCAGAAACAGGGAGAAGCAATGACACCAGTGAGTTCCTCTAGCCAGAGTCACAGGAGACTATGGCACCAGAAGCTACTCAGAAGGGACAGGACCTGGACTCCAACTAAACAGGGTGGCTTGGAAATTACTAAAGGTTGAAGAAGCAGGGAATCAAGTCCACAGTGGTCAACCGAAGTGTTGGTGACTGCTAACCCCTTGACTCAGGTTCTTGGCCTCTACCCTATCTACTCTGCTGCTAGGCATGAGAGGTTCTGTTTCCAAAGACTTACGCTATGCTGCTGCTGCTCACTCCTCTTGAAATGCTCATTCTCTAGTCACCAACTTTCCTAATTCCTCTTCTCCAAGCCCAGGTCAATATCTGCTCCCCTAGGAAGACTCTCATCTGCACTTCTCAGCACCCCTACCTAAACTTCCCTTGGAGTACTTAACATTGACTCCCTCATATTAATGTTCTTGGGGACGTAGACTATGAACCCCCTGAGGGTGGGCAGGAGGCCAAGTGCAACTCTATTACTCAGAACTAAATGACTGACTGACAGTGGAGGGTTATCCAATAGGCAAGGTAAGCACTGTGCTTACCTTGCTTACCAGATCATCTGTAGTGAACAATTTTGTATTTTTTCACCACATCAAAGACTCTGCTTCTAGGTATAGCTGGCATCTGTCTCTCTTGCAACCCCACAGCACCTTCCTACAGAATCAAAGCCTCTTTTCAAATTTACAGTCTCTGACGGGGCGGACGACCCAGTAAGCAAGGTAAGCAGGGGCTGACTTGTGCTTACTTACTAACCTGCAGTGAACAATTTTGCTACAGGTGATCTGATAAGCAAGGTAAGCACTGTGCTTACCTTGCCTATTAGATAATCTGCCCCTGTTGACTGAAGTGGCACAGACCTACTATGGGTACCCACTGGGAAGGCTGGCTCAGCTCTGTGGGGGCTCACCTTCTACCCAGCCACCTGTGGCTGTCCAGAGGTCACTGTCTTTACCTACTTTCTAGCTCTCTTGCTCTGATTTGCATTCTCCTTTTCCTTCTCCTTCTCTTTCTATCTTTCTCTTCCTCTCCTTCCTTTTCCTCTCTCTCTTTCTCTCTCTCTCTCCCCCTCTCATAAACTCACAGACTCAAATTCTCTTCCAGTGAAGTTTCTCTTTCTTGAAATAAAACACTTTTTAACACTCACGATGTTTCTTTCAAACGCACTGCCTCTCTGAAACACACACACCCAGACTCTCACAGACTCTCTCTCTTGTACACACACGTGGACACATACACAGGCTCACCATCATCTCAGCTGAGGTGCAGCAGGAAAGGTGAGCTCTCACCTACTGATGCCATTTCCTGGTGGCACACACCTTGCCCATCACCATGACTAGCTTTTTTCTGTAAGCCTGTTTCCCCTTTATTGCACATTTGTGGGCCACAGCAGCTGGCAGGCAGCTGCTTTAATCCACCTAACAGCTTGTCCATTTGAGTCCTGCTTTCCACTGGTTTTCCTCCAGATCCTATTGGCTCAAAAGGTGCTGGCAGAGACTCATATCAAACTGAGGGAAACAGAGCTGACTACAGAATCAGCTGCAGCTGCGTGAGGGAGTGTCAGCTCATGAACCTGTACAATGTACATATTTGGGGATACAAGTTTCTCCAAAACTGGAAATTCCTCTGTAGTATATTTTCTCAAAAAAATACTCCACGATGTTTTAACAGGAATTTCCCTGATATCTCAGAATTTTAGCTGATGTCCAAAGTAAAAGATGGCCATAAACGGGAACAGGAACCTTTAATTCATCACCCACCTTCTGCCTAGACAAGCTTAGGAGAGTCAAAGTGAGGGTTTCTGTAAATAGAGTTACCCTCTCTGACAAATTTGAAAACCTAGAGGAAATGGACAAATTTCTAGAAACTCACTACTTACCGAAATTAACACAAACAGAGGTAGAACAACTAAATAAACCCATAATAAAAGAAGAGATTGAAAAGGTTATTAAAAAACTGCCAACAAAAAAAAGCCCTGGCCTGGATGGCTTCACTGGAGAATTCTACCAAACTTTCAGAGAAGAGAT